GCGCTGCCCGCCGCCGCCGGCGCCCTCAAGATGCTGCCCGCCGACCACCGCGGCAAATCCAAAAAGACAGTGGACAAGAACAGCAACGAGTACCGCGTGCGCCGCGAGCGCAACAACATCGCGGTGCGCAAGAGCCGCGACAAGGCCAAGATGCGCAACCTGGAGACGCAGCACAAGGTCTTGGAACTGACGGCCGAGAACGAGCGGCTGCAGAAGAAGGTGGAGCAGCTCTCCCGGGAGCTGAGCACCCTCAGGAACTTGTTCAAACAGCTGCCCGAGCCGCTGCTCGCCACCTCGCCGCGCTGCTGACCCCCGCGCGGGGCGGGCGCCGCCTCCATCCCTCCCTCCTGCCGCGGAGCCCGGCGGCCGCTCGGTTTGGTTGTCGCTTTTTCCTTTTATTTTTTATTTTTTTGGTCTTTTTTTTTTCTCTCGCGCCGGCGGGAGCCCCCCCCGGGCCGGGCGGGCTCGGCGGGCTGCGGGCGCGGGGGGTTATTTAAAAAGAAGCGAGAGGAGAGCGAGGGCAGAGTGATGCAATCCGCGAAGCATGGCTGGGAATGCTGTGTACATGATGCAATCTCGTGTAACTGTCAGTCATGAATTGAGTAATCTGTTAAAGATGTTCCTACTTTTTTTTTTATTATAAAGAATAATCTATTTCTATAAGAAAATACATATGTATATTTTGGGATCTATGCATTCTTGCTACATTTGAAGCATTAATGAACAATTTTAATAAACTTTATGACTAGGTTAAAAAAAAAGTAGCTTGTTTTATTCAGAGGGCATCTTTAAAGTTAGATTGGAGACAGAGCTGAAAATTCAAGTGAATCCAGTTCAGTGCTGAGAGAAGGACCAGGATTTTTGTTGGTCTTTTGGCTTTTTTTTGGTGACTCAGCAAAAAGAAAAACAGAAAAAAAGAAAAAACCCAGACAAAACAAAAGAAGAGAAACCCAGAAAAGAGCAGAGCTGGGAGCTTTAGCCCGTCCGTTTTTTCCTGCCGCTTTTTATTTCCTCTTACACTTGCCATAGCTGCTGCGCGGGGTTGTTTGGGGAGGAGGTGTTTGTTTTTGCTTCTTTGCAGTTCTCCCTGTTCTTGATGCGTAGAGTGAGACCTGCCGGCCAAGCCATGAGCAGCATTTGGCAAAGCCACGCCAAGTCCAAAGGGGGAGGGAGGGTGGAGAAAACAAGGCAGGCAGGCCGAAATGAGGTTTTCTTTCTTTCTTTCTTTCTTGAGAGTCTATTCTCCAAGTTACCGTTCAGCATTTCTTATGTTTGCAGTTTACAGGACTAAACACGAGAAAGTAGCGTTTCTGTTGGCCGTCCGTAATCTGGTGGTGGCTCAGGAAGCTCGCGGGGAGCCCGGCCAGGTGAGAGGCGCGTGAACGGCTCTCCCTGACACTTCCCCTCCAAACTTCAAAGCGGCGTGTCTGAACGCTGGGGTTTCTGCGTGGAAAGGGGTTGGTTTCCGTGTGCGCGGGGGCGGCAGGCGAGGAGGAAGTTTGCAGCAGCCACCGCTTTGTTTTGGGGAGAACCCGGGCTCTGCTGCTGCTGCAGGGAGCCCGACTGGCCAAGGCCACCGCGTCCCCATCTTGCTGCCCTGGGGTTGGCTGCAAAAAGTCAACAGGCTCGAGCTGGTGGCTGGAGGGAGCTGAGCAAAGGTCTTACTCAGCAGTTTCCATTTTCCTGTTAGGCCAAATTTAAGCGCAGAGTTTAGTGCAGGGCATAAGACTCCTTATGCCCCGCAAAGAAATCTTCCTAACTGTCCATACTGTGTTTGACAGCTGAATAGAGTTTTCTCTTTTAAATAAAAAAACAGATTTGAATTTGTATATCCCAGGATAAAGAGCAATGCAGAGCAGAAAAACTTCTTGGTTTTGTCTGCTTATTTCTAGTGTTTCTTTAAGCAAAGCATGTGTTCTGCTGAAGGAACTGCTTACATTTTTGACACTTAAGATCATATCTTCCTCGGGCAGGTAAAGCTCCCGGAGCTCTCACTGAACTTTGCTTTGCATTTCCTGCTCCCGCTATGCTGCTCCTGCCAGGAGCGGCGCAGGGAGGGTAAGAAGTGATATGTGCGGCCTGAAACAGATGCATCTCCTCTTTATTTTTGTTCTTTTTGCTTTTTACTTTGTATGGGGCGTCCAGTGGCTTTTACGAACACCCGGCGCCCGGGCGCGAGCTCTGGCCTGGGCTGTCCCTCGTGACCGTGGTTTCCACAGCCCCCCGTGGCTGTTGATCCTGCTGTTCTCGTTACGAAACTGCTCCACGGCGCTAGGTCCTGTTTTCTTGGCGTGCTGGAGGCCGAGCACCTTCCCCAGACGCAGGAGCGGCGTTCCCGGCCCGCGCGCGGGGCCGCGGCGACGCTGCGGGACCGGAGGGCTCTGGACGTACATGTCTCCTCTTCCTTATAGGCGACGAAGCCTCCATCAAACGCTCTGTTTGTGGAGGCTGGGAGGCAGGGGAGATTGAAAGATAACATGTACTAAAGGTATTTATATTTGTTTAAGTTATAGTCCAGTTCTGGAGATAGAGCTTGAATGAGCTAATCCCCGTCCTTAAACTTTGCCTGCTGCAGCTAGGGAGAGTCGGAGCCGCGTGCGGTTGCAATTTAAAGAATGATGTTTAAAGTCCTGCTGTATTCCAATGTATCTCCTAATTTGGGTCACAGATTTCTCGTTCTGGAGGGAACTTGTGCAGCGCTGAGTCTTTGTCAGAAAAATGCAATTTCAGAGGGAAAAGAGAGGATATAATGCACCGATTTTACTCTAGTCTCAGAAGGAATTCATGGAAGATTCAGAAAGAGAATTTCTGAATCCTTCCTTTTTAATCTTGTTTTAGCCACATAACCTACACTTTAGGAGCTTTGTAGCACTTTTACATGCATAGAGGTCACAAAATACCCTACTTTAAAAATAAGAGTACAAAAAAGCCCCTTGCAATTAAAATACTTCCTAGGAAAAGAATACTTTGGAAATGAATCTGAGACAACTCCAAGCACCGAAGAAGACAAAAGATTCCAAAAACCTTTTCTAATCACAGTGGGGGAATCGGAAAATCCCTCTCCAAATGCTGTCTCAGCTCCAAATATTGATGTAGCTTCACATTACAAATAAGATTCTGTTGCTTGAAAGCATCGCTTGGTTCATCCTGGCTGTTTTCTTACAGGATTTCTTTGTCCTAAATCTTCTCAGTCCTAGATCAACTCAGTGTAAGTTGTGGCAGGACCTTGTGTGTGTATACTCAAGCAAACCATGCTTGAGTTATGGCAAATGATTCTAGTTTTCTGCTTTGAAACTTGTGGAAGTTTATAAACAACATTTGTTTGGGGCTTTTTTTCCTCTTTCACTTTGTTTATTTCATTTACTGATTCATATAGGTCTTCCTCACTACTACTAAAATGCAGAAATAAATCTAGAAGGTCAAATCCCTACCATTGACAAAGCATCTAACACTGTTTTATCGTTTACTAGGTATTTCAATTCAATCATGTTTAGTTCTGCAAAAGAAATTTTATGTACTATTTTAAAACAAAATAATTAAATATACTGACAATTACTAATTTGTTAGCCGTTCTTCTATGTATTAATACAGATTATTATTTTCTACTTCCTTTGTATGCCCAAGCATGTGGTAATCCTTGCAGCTCTGACATTGTGCATTGCTTTTCCCGCTGCCTTCCATTAATGACTCTTAGAGGTTGCTGGAAAAGTTGCACTTTCTTCTGTACTAATTGTTTAACCAGATAAAGTCACCCCAATTGCACATATGCATCACAGGATTATTGAGATAGGAGATTCAGTCACATTTGATAAGTGTGGATTTTTCTCCTCTCATCAAAATCCAAAAAGTGCCTTCAACTATCCGGATTACAACCTGGAAAAGCTGTAAGTAGTGTAACTAGTGCATCCTAGACGTTTGTGCAGATTTTACCTTCACAACTGTATTGTTAGAACAACTGTCACCGATGTGGGTGTGCATAAAAATATGAAGTTATTCTCATGCTAGATAGTCCTCGAGCAATGTTTCACTAGCAGCGACCAGAATAAAAGCCAGCGTAACATTAGTAAGCAGGAAAACGTACATGAGACCAAATTACACATCATCCTTTCTGTGACTATTTATGCCATCACTTAAGATACAAGGACTATTGTCTTGTATCTTCCTGTCATCCATACCAACACCAAGTCTAAAACGCCACCAAACTAGAATGGAAGGGCTCTGCATTCGGTTCTAGATGATTGTACAGTGGACAGGGTAAGGATGAATTTTTTTCTTTTTTTGCTACTGATCGATAATGCAAAAATATTTCCTTGACCACCCTCCTGAGTGTTAAGACTAACTTTGCTTGATCTTTAACTGTATGGAGATGCTTAACAGCCAGAGTTCTAGAGCAAAAGTCATGCCCTAGAGAATGTAAATCTCTGAGTGCATGTTGAAAGGCTCCTATACGAGCAGGAAATCAAAACAAGACTAGGAATATAGTTAACCACATCCAAGGAAATAATTCAGTTTAAATTCTGAATCCTTTTTTTTTTCTTTTTCAATCAATCAATCAATCAAGTAAAATTAATATTATTTGGACAATGTAGAGTAAATATGTGAGGGCATTATTTCTCCTGTGATAGATACCCCCAAACAGACAACTGAAATTATAAAAAGAGCAAAGTTCTATTTAAACTATTTGTTGTGACCCAGAACATGCCCTGAGAGCCTGATCCTTGTGATACAAAGCCAAACTTTGGTATAAACTCCAAACTTGGATAATATCCTGAGGTTTTCTGAGGTTCCCAATTCTTCAGCATGAATTGAAGCATATTTTGACGCAGCCTGGGCAGATAAGCTGCATAATGCTGTGATGAGTATGTAAACACCTGAACAGATTAGATACAGCCTTGGATCGACATCGGGATCGTGTGGAGTTTAAAGGTTGTGTTATCCTGACACAGAACTACGTGAGGTTGCAAGAAAGTTTCCCTCTGAAATGACGTCAGCCCCTGCGGCCCTGGAGACACGCGAGGGTCCCGACATGATGCTGTGATCTGCCGTGCAGTAGATCTCTCAAGGTCACAGTTTCACAGAATAGGGCCAAATTTAACCTCCAGTTGTTGTAAATTTTTCACAGATTCAGAATATTTAGACCCAACTATTTTTTCAGGGTAATTACAGTCCAAGATATTGGTCTATATCCAGTTTTGGCCTGGCCCTGTCCCATCTGCTCTTGCCTTGGCATTCCTACATCTCACATTCCACAGCTATCACAGCCCTTTCTCAGGATTTAGGGTCTTTAAACCTGAGGTTTTATCTAGGCCTCATTCTATAATTCCAAGTGATTTACAGAA